TCAAAGAAGCGTCTCCGAAAATAAATGATCCGTCATCGCCTGTGTTTGGTTGTTCAAATGCGAAATTTCTTTATTCAAAAACAATTATAAACATCAAAATGTTCAAATATGACAGCAAGAAGTGATTCTTGAAATACCCAACGTGTAGTACACAAGCTGTCGATCTGAAGAGTGGAAGTTTTAATATTGTTTTGATATCTGAAATTACGCCAGAGACCTCTCCATTTTTCAGTGGAAATTTCTTTTTAAAAAAATGTTGATTGTTGACCCTTCTGTTGTTTCAAACATTTTAGACAACGCAATTTTTAAGCGATGGCAAATACAAAAGTTTACACAAAACTTGTGTCGATAAGTACGTGGTACACACACTTTTAAATTCCGAAAAAGTGATTTCATGTTGTTGGCTGAGTCCCCTGTTATACCCGAACAGTTACTCCAAGAAAGGTTGTTGCGTCTGATACACTTTCGAATCCATTGTTTCCAACTGCTTGAGTCTGTTTTACCAAAATAATCCCCAATTTTAATTTTAATTTTTTTACAGAGAAATTTTCTTTAACGAATCTACAAAACAACGAAAAATGTTCTTTGCCTTTTGTTTTGGAACTATCAACTATCAAATGGTATTTTTGTCCAGTCGACCCCAACTCCGATATCTCACTTTTTGCAACTTTATGGATAAACATCGTTTTTCGTTGAATTGTACGTGCACTAACCGAATAATCGAAAGTGACCCCTCCAACACACAAAGATATAACACGTGTGAGTTCAATAATCCTTTCAATCTCTGATGTAGACAATGAAAGAGCGCCAAAATACAATGCAAAGAGAATAATAATATATTTTCTTTTTTCTTTGTTGACTTTTTCAGAATCATTACCAACTATACCGATGACTTTTTTGTAATTTCAATTTCAAATTTCTTTGCGTTATCATTTTCATTTATTTTGTAATTATCAAAAACATTTTTCATAAACAAAACACGTTCAATCTCTTCTTTGCTGTGTTT